AAGATTGAAGCACGAACAAAAGCCTTACAGTGAGTTAGAACTTGGCATATTCTAGAAACTGGCAGCAGGCTTGAATATTTGGTTTTTATGAGCTAGGGAGAATTAATATTAGTATTTATAAATTATTTTATAGTGCTATAAATTACTTTTACACGTATTGTCCTATGATCTTCACAATTATGCGAGTTTGTATGACTATTATTCTTATTTATAGTTTGGTAAGCTGTTGATATGTTTTATAGCTCATGATTAAGATGAATGTTTTACTCTTTCTACTGCGTCCTAGTGCCAGTCAAATAATACATGTGTGCAAGAGTATATGCGTATGCATAGTTTACATAGAATAAGAGAAAACAATAAATATATACATTTCATTTGAATATATTGATAGTACCACTTTTTAGCATTATTAATTTATTCAGGGCTGAAAGTTATAAATGGCAAGGCCAGATTTTTAAGTTCATTTGAATAATATAAGTAAATTACATCAGTAAACACAATGTGATGTCTTATTATGTGTAACTGTTAAGGTAAGTGAGATACTTCTGATAGAAATCTCATAAATGTGATTAAATGTTTGTACCTTGTAACTAGGAAGATTAATTTATAAGATAATTAGCTTGTTTCTGTGAACTAGTAAAGTATTTTGTACTCATGTATTCAGGATGTGTGGCATGTATGTGTTGATAAGAAATATGAAAGTTGATAGATGACTAAGGGATGAAAACTGAATTTTATAATTTTGGAAGGGGTTTTTATGAAAATTTCCTTCTATTCTCTCTCTCCCTTCACCTTCCACATTTTTAGTTGTGTCACCAAGTGCTTTTATATAGGTTAGAAATTGATTTCAACTAGTCATTTCTTATCTTTTTGTATTAATAAATACTTAATTTTATAAATTTGTTTTTTATAAGGAGGCTGAGCACAAAGAAAGAGTTGAATATATTTTTGTAATAGTACTTACCTTTAAAATGAATTGAGATCAAAGGAGTATTTGAATGACATAGTCCTTTGTACATATCGCTTGATCTTTGATTCCTTTTGTATGTCTTTTGTTTTTAATTTTTTATTTGTTTTGTGCCTGTACGAGGACTTGAATTCAAGTCCTGGGCACTGACTCTTAGATTTTTGCTCTAGGCTGGTGCTCTACCACTTAAGCCACAGCTCCAATTCAGGCATTTTGATAGTTAATTGGAGATCAAGGTTCTAGGGGATGCCATTCTGGGGGATAGAGGGGTAACCTTACATCTTAATGGTTCTAACTTTCCACAACTTTGCTAGGAACCAAGCCTTTCACACACAGGCCTTTGGGGACACTTACCCAAACCATAACAACAGACAGGCTGCAGGCTGGGAAATGTTTGAAAATCAGGTATCTTAGAAAAGACTTATACTAAGATATATAATTTTTTTTAATTCTCAAAAATAAGAAAACAAACTATGGATATCAATAGTTCATTTAAAAAGAAATCAGCCAGGGATTTGAGGCTCTTGCCTGTAATCTTAGCTGAGGAGGCTGAGATCCGATCCATTAGATTTTTTTTTTTTTATTCAGGTAAGGGGTAGGTTTATTCATCGTTCTGGCTGGCACCAGGCCATCTTGGTCCTCCACGCAGTGGAGAAAGGCCTGGGAAAGAGAGCTGGGAGAGCTGGGAAAGAGAAAGAGAGCTGGGAAAGAGAGAGAGCTGGGAAAGAGAGAGCGAGAGAGAGCTAGGAAAGAGCTGGGAAAGAGAGGTGGGAAAGAGAGAGCTTGGAAAGAGAGAGGTGGGAAAGAAAAGAGCTAGAAAAAAGAGCCAGAGGGCTGGGATGTTGGCTCAGTGGTAGAGCGCTTGCCTTGCATGCCTGAGGCCCTGGGTTCAATTCCTCAGCACCACATAAGCAAAAAGAAAAAACCCGGAAGTGGCGCTGTGACTCAAGTGGTAGAGCGCTAGCCTTGAGCTGAAGAGCTGAAGGACAGTGCCTAGGCCCAGAGTTCAGGCCCCACGACCGGACCCAAAAAAAAAAAAAAAGAGCAAGATCTGTGAGATTTTTATCTCCAAATAACCACCAAAAAGCTGGGAGTAGAGCAATGGCTCCAAACGGAAGAGCACTATCATCAAGCTAAAAATGCTTAGGGACAGCAGCCAGGCCCTGAATTCAAGCCCTAGGACTGGCAACCCCCTCCCCCCCACAAAACCCCCAAAAAACAAAACCCAAAGGTCTTAGGTATTACTAGACTGATCAATGAGATATATGGAGGACAGAGAAACACATAAAAAAACGCTTTATGTCATTTGTTTTTAGACAAATGGTTGTATTATTAAACTATTGGAATTTCCTTTGAAAAAGCTGACAATATGAAAAACAGATAGATTCTAGAAGAGTAGGAATTGTCTTCATTGCTGATGACAATTCATAATTGTGTAGCCACTTTGGAATAAAGTTTATATGTTTTATAAACATCTTATAAACAGTATAAACATCCTCCTTATAGGTATTGATCCAAGTTAAGTTAATTGAAAATGTACATTCATATAAACTTTTTATTTTTGGATATATTTTTATAGATTGTGCACATTGCTTGAACTCAGGACTTGATGCTCTTACTTGGCTTTTTTTGTTGTTGTTGTTGTTGGTTGTAGGGGCTGAACTCTGGGCCTGGGCTCTGTCCCTCAGCTCTTCAGCTCCAGACGAGCACTCTACTGCTTGAGCCACAGCGCCACTTCTGGCTATTTTCTGCTTATGTGGTGCTGAGGAATCCAACCTAGGGCCTAATGCATGCAAGGCAAGCCCTTGCTTGGATTTTTCATGCAGGCTGTTGCTCTATCACTTGAGCACAACTCCATTTCCAATGTTTTTGTTGTTAATTTTTGTTTGTTTTGTGCCTGTATTGGGGCTTGAACTCAGAGACTGGGCACTGTATGTTTCTATGTGTATTTTAAGATAAAGAATGACATTAGTAAGTCTATTTTACTTATATTAGTACTCATGTCTACATTCATATTTGCTATGATATATACTTACTCTGTATGTCATATCTGGCATATATAATACAATAAATTTATCTGATTTGGGGAAGGTAAGGGGAATCAGAACCAATAGGATAAAGGATGAACCAATGCAACAGAAACACTCACTAGACACTATGTTAGAAATGAACTTTACAGCTTGGGTGGGGAGGGGAGTTTGGGGTTGAGGGAAAGGGGGAGAAAATGAGGGAAGGGGTAACATTGACAAGAAATGTACTCATTACCTTACTTATGTAACTAATCCCTCTGCAATAAAATAAAATTTGCAATAAAACCTTTGCAATAAAATAAAATTTGAAAAAGAAAAACACAGTGAAAAAAATCTCATATTATGATATATGACTTACTTTGCCTGTCATATATGGCACCTGTCATTCCCTCACTCACTCACTGAGCCACTTATTCATAGTTTTCATTAGTATCTATTAACTGCTCAGTGAACAAAATGAGTACAAATTATATTTATACTTTAGAAGTCATAGTTCAAACAAAGAATAATCCAAGAAAGCAGACATTTACTGTGATGAGTAGATAAGGCAAATAATCTCATACTTGTTCTTTAAATTATTTTAAGAAAACACCATAGAAAGTTACTCAGTTTTCAGTTTTGACTCAGTTTTGATCCCATTTAAAAAATATATTGGCTAAAAACAGTAAAATTTTGGGAAATCTCTCCAAAACCAGAATTAAAATAACTCTGTTAATTATTTGTTGCTATTATACTTTTCTTAGCTTTTGCAACTTCCATTGTTTTAATATTGGTGTGTAATAGAGCAAAGTAAAATCTTGGATATTTTTGATGGTTGTTAAAATCCAAGTACTTATATAATAAAATTTATATTTCTGCAAACTTTTTTTTGTTGTTAGCCGTGGGGGCTGAACTTTGGGCACTGTCCCTCAACTCTTCAGCTCAAGGTGAGCACTCTACCACTTGAGCCACAGTGCCCCTTCTGGCTTTTTTCTGCTTACGTGGTGCTGAGGAATGGAACCCAGGGCCTCATGCATGCAAGGCAAGCACTGTACCACTGAGCCAACTTCCCAGTCCTATTTCTGCAAACTTTTGTTACTACTCAAGTTATATGTTTTTGGCTTTGAGTGCTAATAATAAGTTATAGTTCCAAATAAAACATTTCAGAACATTTATTAATCTTGGCGATTCATGTTCTGTTTTAGAAAAACATCTTTTGTTTGTTTATCTTAGTTGTTATTTTTGCTATGAAGGAAAACATAAAATTAGTTATCTTACAGATATCTTAATATCCTAGAATAAAATAGCATTTATATGGGTGTAGTCTATGGTATGATAGAATTTTTCAACACTACATATCTTGTCATAATAAGATATGAGCCTTAATGTTTGTGTTTGATGTGTTATGCATATTTAAAGCTTTTACTTTTTAATTGTTTATTCAATTATATTATCTTCAAGGAAGTTTGATTTGTCTTCAGTATAGATTGAATCACACACTACTTAATCCTGTGTCCAAATCATAGCTTTTCTGTGCTTATAATAATTTTGGAGTTTCTGCCAAAATTCAGGGACTTCTGTTCCCTCTGATCAAAAAGGCATGACTGTAAGCCCTTTTATATAGTGATATTCCATTATACTATTGAGCAAGCAAAGAAAGTTTGGGGAGGGCAGAGAAGAGGAGACAGTGAGCTTTTGACTGTTGGCCAGTCAACACTCCCTATGTTTCAATATGTGCTGTCTTGGATATCCTAAATATTTAAATACATTTCTTACTGTTTTCACAGCATGTAGAACCCATGGAACAAAGAACAGTTAAAGCTTCATACTTAAATCTCCAGGAAGATCTTTGAAAGATCCACACAGGATCACCGGATCACCGGAGAGACTAATGTGTAGAAGCATCATGTGTTGAAGCAACAGAAGTCTTACCTGATCATGTGTTGAAGAAACAGAAGTCTTACCTGTATACTGACTAGAAACAAAGTTACAATGTTTTCAATTCTTTGAGCTTCAGGAAGCCAGGAGATTGAGTTGAAAGTCTGAAAATGCGGCCATGGACTGGTTCCTGGCGTTGGATTATGCTCATTCTTTTTGCATGGGGGACCTTGTTATTTTATATAGGTGGTCATTTGGTTCGAGATAATGACCACCCTGACCACTCTAGCCGAGAACTGTCCAAGATTCTGGCAAAGCTTGAACGCTTAAAACAACAGAATGAAGACTTGAGGCGGATGGCTGAATCCCTCCGGTAGGTTCGAAACTATTGAAGGAAGAAAGATAAAGTATTGTACTTTTTTTTTTTCAGGGATAAAAAAGTTCTTTGAGTGCTTGCTTCAGCATCACATATACTAAAATTCGAATAATATAAGACTAGCATGGGCCCTGTGCTGGGATGGCATGAAAATTCATGACATGTTTCATATATATTTTTTTTTAAAGTTCATTGATCGGGGCACTGGTGGCTTACACCTGTAATCCCAGCTACTCAGGTGGCTGAGATATGAGGATCATGGTTTAAAGCCAGCCCAGGCAGGAAAGTCCATGAGACTCTCATTTCCAATTAACTACCAGAAAACCTGAAGTAGCACTTTGGCTCAAGTGGTAGAGCACTAGCCTTGAGCTGAAGAGCTGAGGCACAGCGCCCAGGCCCAGAGTTCAAGCCCCATGACCGACAAAAGAAAAAAGTTCATTGTTTTATTTTTTCAGTTTAACTATTGAAGTATTCTTAATAATTTCTAAAAATTGATGTGTTGGCAGAAATTTAAATATTGTGGTAGGATTTTTCTTTTAATCATTGATAACCTCTATATACTCTAGTGAATGTTTTCAGAGTAGCAAATCTTATTTTGCATATGAATCTTAATAAGAAAACAGTACCTTCTAACCTATGTACTTGTATTTAATTGATAATTTTGATATATTAATCCAGACATTATATGGGTTAAAGTAGCACATAGTGAAAATTGTTTTTATACGGACTATAACAAACACAAGTTTTGGAAAACTGAGTTAGTCTGACACTATCCCTCCCCCTTTCCCTCCCTCCCTCTCTCCCTCCTTTCCTTCCTTCCTTCCTTCCTTCCTTCCTTCCTTCCTTCCTTCCTTCCTTCCTTCCTTCCTTCTCTTTTTCTCTTCTCTCTCCCTCCTTCCCTCCCTTCTTTCTTTGGGGGTGTGTGTTGAGGTATGTGTGTCAGTTGTGGGGCTTGAACTCAGGGCCTGGGCTCAAAGCTAGAGCTCTTATCACGTTGAGCCATAGTTCTATTTCCTGATGATACTTTCTTAAAGTGAAGAAAAGTTTATTGTTAAAATACCTGGATCTAGAATGTGTAGAATTATTATCATTGTTACCTCTAGTATACAAAAGATGTGGCATGTATTTTGGTTTGAAAAAAAGTTTCCTAGTTTCATAGAAAAAATAAACGTGATGTTATATAGATGATTTCTCTGTGTTTCAAAGTTAAGTTTGTCTAAAACTTGTAATTCTTCTACATGTGAGGATAATCTTATATATAGTACTTGCTTTCTCAAAAAAAAAAGAAGCCTAGAAATGAAGATTTGAGAGTTGTTAGGATGATGGTAATAATTGACTCAAAGGTAAGTGGTATAGAGAAAAAGCTAAAAGTTCATGGTTTTATGAGAAACAAATTTACAAATGAAAAGTAAAAACATCCAGTTGTGCAAATAATGCTAAGAATATTTGGGTAAATAGTGGGAGAGAGCCATGTTATAGAGACTGAAGAAAGAAAATAACTGGGTGCTTGTGGCTCATGCCTGTAATCTTAGCCACTCAGAAGGCTAAACTGAGGAGCAAGGTTTGAAGCCAGCCCTGGCAGAAAAGTGGGACTCTTATCTCCAATTAACCACTTAAGAACTGGAAGTGATGCTGTGGCTCAAGTGGTAGAGCCCTAGTCTTGAGCACAAAGGGGCTCAGGGACAGTGTTCCACAACCAACACCCCCCAAAAAAATAGTTGGCAGTGTTTTACTCTATACCCTTGAGCTATAGAGGCTGCCTGCAGGTCTCCCATTTTATTCTTTTATTCCTCTACCTCATTGTATTTCATTCTTTCTTTAGAATATAGATGTTTCCTTTTTTTCTCTAGTTCTGAGGCCTTTTTCTTTGTAATATTTTAATTAATAATCTTTTACTTTGGGTTGACTTCTCTTTTTTAATTTAATTTAATTGTTACTATAAGAGTGTTGTACAGAGGGGCTACCATTTCACAATTCAGGTAAGATGTACGTTTCTCTTTTGTACAATGTTACCCCTTCCTTCACTTTTCTCCAGTTTCTCCCCCCTGTCCTTGCTAATTGGTGATATTTTTAGTCATACTCAGGTTAAAAGTTTTATAAAAGTTAATGAAACTTCATCCTTGTCATGTTATAGTACTAGTAGTGTGAGTCATCAGTGTACAAAGTGGGACATAAAACTTCAGGAAGTGTCTCTCATTTTATTGGGGAATAATCAGAATAGATCATAGAATAGGCAATCTTTCAACAAAGCTTTATATTCACTCATTCTTTATGAGAAGCAAAGATTGGTAATTTAAGGATTAATAATGATGGCTATCATTTATTGGGAGTTTTTTTGTTTTTTTTTTCAGGTAAGGGGTAGGTTTATTCAGTAGACCCGCTGGGACCAGGCCTGGTTGGCACTCCACGCGGCTGGCAAAAGACCTGGGAAAGAGCTGAGAGAGAGCTAGAAAAGAGAAGAGAGAGCTGAGAAAGAGAAGTGGGAAAGAAAGAGCTAGAGAAGAGAAGAGAGAGCTGGGAAAGAGAGAGAAAAGAGCTAGAAAAGAGAAGAGAGCTAGAAAAGAGAGCGTCTGGGCCTGGGCTAGGCCTTATCTAGGGAATGGGCGGAGAAAGATGTGGCCACATCAAATTCAGATGTGACCTGGGCGCATGCAGATGTGACCTCTTCCAGGTATGCCAGTTGCCTAGGTAATGCAGGTACTGGGTAGAGACTTTGCTGTGAGGAGGGTGGAGTCTGCTCGCCATCCAGGAGCAGACCTTACATTCTAGCCTTTTGATAATTATGAAAAAGGGTGAAGATTCTCTCTGGCTACTTCCTGCTGACAAGGAGCGTCGACAATAGGGGTAAAAGGCTGGAATTTGGTCCCCTCTATTGAGAGTTTTTTATGTGCAGGAACTTGCCAAGAATTTTGCATGGATTATAAGATACTAGTACCTTTTTCATAACCATTTTACAGATAAGAATCATAGGGATGTTAAGTAGTTTGATATGCTCAAAGTCACACTTTTCACAAATGGTAAAGCTTTTTTGAATTCCATTAAAATGGCTCCACAGTTTGGGCTCTGATGAGCTATATTGTCTCCATAAGCAGAAAAGAGAGAAATTAATGACCAAAAAAAAAAAATCTCAGATATAAGTTTCAGAAAAATCACCAAGAATAGCTGCAAGTTAATTTTGCCATTTGTTTTGTAGTAAAATCTTGTTCTACATCATGGGAATTTTGCTCCTCAGAAAAAGATGTTGCATTAAACTTAATTTAGGCTCATAAGTGAAGATTCCCCCCTTTATATCATATTCAATACTGATACTTCCATTTGTTTATTTCTAATTGCCAGGCATGTTGTTTTTATTGCATGGAAAGCTTGTCTTATATGGGTTGGCCCTCTAGAAAGTAATCATTGGGCCAGGTATTGTAATCCTGTACATGCCTGTAATCCTAGCTACTCAGGAAGCCAAGATCTGAGGATTGCAGTTCAAAGCCAACCTGGCAGGAAAGTCCCTGAGACTCTTTTCTCCAATTAACTACCAGAAAACTGGAAGTGGCTCTGTGGCTCAGGTGGTAAAGTGCTATCCTTGAACAAAAAATACTCAGGGACAGTACACAAGCCCTGAGTTCAAGCCCCGCACTGACAAAAAAAAGAAAATAATCATTGGATCTCTTAAATCATGTTCTTTGCATTTAAAAAAATTAACTTAGTTTTTTTCTAGACTTCAAAAGGTTGTGTAACAAAGGAGTTCAATTTAATGTGTCCATGTAAGTATTCTGTGCTTCCTGTTCAGAGTCTCCCCTTTCATCATTTTCCATCTGTTCCCTTTCCTCAGACTCATTTTAAATTTCCCACTTGTATTTTTTATATATTGAAATTAAATTCCCAGATACTATAATTAAATGCAGAGTCAGCTTTTCAGAGCTGAAGTACTTAGTATCATCAAGTCATACATATCATGATGTCATATAAGTACAATATAGAAACAGAGCCTAAACTTGATTCATTATGTGCGTGTGTGTATGTGCATATTATTTTAGTAAAATAAATAAATGGTTACTTTCTCACTTTAGGGAAGAAAAAACTTATTAGGCTGTCCCACAGACTTTTGGGGAGAATTGTGTTTCTTTTAGTAGGATTTCATTTTATAGTGAGAACATGGATGAGAGAAAGAGTGATAGAGGACATTGTTTCCATAGTGTAATTCAGCTAATATATTGTATTCAAGTGTTTGCATGTGTTTTCTTAAAAGAAATTGTTTTTATAACTCAAAAAATAAACATTAATTCAGTAAATGTAATACTAAATAATTTCTTTGAAATAAGGAGGTAGACTGGAGTTGGAGAGCAACATAGAAACCTGAAATTACTCAAGATAATTTTGAAGCAGTTAACCTTTCAGTTAGAATTTGTTGTTTTTTTTTTTTTAAGACTGTTACATATTTAGAAAAACAATTTAGAAATCATTTCTTTGAAGGATGCAATTGTACAAGCAAGCATAATCTGGTAAGGAGAGTGATATGGGTGTGTATGTATATGATTGTGTTAGTCTGATTTCCTCATTTTCATGCAGTAAAGTTTATGAATTTTGGCAAATGTTTACATTCATGTAATCACCACAACCAAGCATTCTACCACTTCCCAGAATTAGGTTGTAGTCTTTTGTAGTCAAATTCTGTTCCTACGTACTAACTGTGGAACTGGCTGATAGGTTTGCCTTCCTGTATGTGTGGAGAACCTTAGGAGTGGCAGAACCTTAAATGAAAACGCTAAGGTGGAATGTGAAGCCCTGAATTCAAGCCTTTCTACTGTTGCATGTGCACGTGCGCACGCACGCGCGCACACACACACACACACACACACACATACACGTGTGCACACACATATACCACACAAATTAATAAAAACAGAAGAAAATAAATGGAATGTCATATAAATGAAATCATGCAATATGTATCCTTTTGAAATCATGAAGTATGCATTCTTCATTTAGCTTAAGGAATTTGAGATTCCTCAGTATTACTGTGCATGTGAGCAGTTTATTCTTTTTAACTGCCTAGTAGAATTTTCATTCCTTTTTAATGTATGTTGAGTAGTATTCCATTGTATACATATATCATCTTTTTTAAAATTTTGTTTTAAAAATTAATCACCAGTTGAAAGAGATTGAATCATTTCCGTTTTTGACA